GTGTGTGTGTGTGTGTGTGTGTGTGTGTGTGTGTGTGTCTTCTTTACACGGAGTCATCATCCACGCTGAAGGCTGCAGGCGATCTTCGGCTGCGAACGCTCAGGCCCTCGCTCTGAGTGAGCAGGGTTGTGCTGCCGGTTGTGAATCCGAGCTCCTCCATTCCTGAGGCCGCGCTCCTCGTCAGAAAACCCGGCCTCTCTGAGGACTGGCTCAGCATGCAGACTAGGACATGCCACCCAGTGCCATCGTCCGCCACTAAGTACCCTTGCGTTACAAGAAGCCCACCCCAGCCCTCCAACGCGGTCCTCTGGTGATAGACTCCCTGGGGTTGCAGTGACCCCACAACCACTCAGTGGAACCATCAGACATCTCCGCATGTCATGGTCAGCTGATGAGCAATTTCTGCTGCTCTGGAATGCTGGCCTCTGACTGTCATCTCATCACATGGCCACGGGACCCAGGAGTAGGACCCAGTCTCTTGGGTCTGCCGTTCTGCCAAATACGGCCTCTTCAGACCATTGTCCAGGAGGAGACTGGCTTCTTCAAGGGTAATTCACATCCTCAAGGTCACGCTTCTATCGAGTGGGACTGGGGGTCTGAGCTCCACTGGTCTGGTCACTGATCCCAGGGGCCCAGCCCAGGCTTGGCTCTGGAAGCAGGTATCTGGGAGGCATTTCTCCCTATGGTGGACACAGGGGCAGGTGGCCTTGCCCAGTCCACTCTCTGGTCCTCGACCTGCAACCAGGGTAGCAGGCACTTGACCAGGCTCCAGCCACTGTCCCTGTTTTCATCATTTGCTTCAACACAAATGCACATGGACGCTGACAGTTATCTCCCCGAGCAAACACAGCTGCGTCCTGCAGAAGGGCCATCCCCTGCACTGTGCACCAGAGTCCTATGCATGGGCCTGCTGCTGGGACGGTGGTCTGGGGCTGCTGGGGGTACCAACCTTTAGCTCCCTGAGAGTGGGGTCTGCAAGCCCCCAGAGGCACCTTGGGAGGGACGCATGTGATCTCCCTCTGAGAAGCCCACCGTTGGAGACCCTTGGAATACCTTGTGCGTGGACGCCCATGGGTTGCCATGTGGTAGGGTGGACTCAAAGGCCATTGGCTAAGGACACTTACCCTGTGGGTCTCTGAGCCCGTTCCAGCCAGGCCTTCCGTAGATGCCCATCCTCGTCCCCAGGGTCTCAGCCATGAGGTCTGACAAGTCTGAGGAGGGCAGGATGGTAGGGAGAGGCATCTCAAGGGCCAGGTGTGTCTGCATCCTGGCTTGGTACCTGCTCAGGTAAGGCCCATGACCACCTGCAGCACCTGCTCTGCAGGAGGGAGCTGGGGCCCAGTCGTACTCACACTTGTGGTGCGCATGAGGCAGGGCGCGCATGAGGACTCCCCCTCCCACCCCAAATCATCCACCTGAGATACAGGTGGACACCTTCCTTCAGAGATCACCCCAAGACAGACCCGCCTCCTCTCAAAGTCAATGCCCATCATCCATCAGTACATTGAGCCAGAGCTCCAGCCACCCTTCCTGAGAGCGCAGACCAACCTGTGGAATCGGCTGCTCTCACAGGGTGTTCTCCGAAGTGTGCGTGTCCTGGCTGGCAGCAGCCCGGAGCGAACTCATTGACAGGCGTGCTTGTGACACGTTGCGTCGGGTCTCACTGTGTAAAACCTCCAGGGCTTGGGCTGCTGCACCTTCGGCTCGGCAGCTGGCTTGGGAGGTGCTGGGACGTGTGGCCATGTACAGGTTACAGGTTCTACTCTCAGCCCTTCCTCCGTACGGCCCTCTGTCTCCGTGCGCTGCACACTGCCTTCCTCTCTGCACTCGGCTTCTCTCTTCTCCCCTCTGCCGCTCCTCCTGGGTCTTCTTACTGCCCCCCTCCCTCCCCATGTCTCCGCCCTCCATCTCCCTTCTCTCCTCTCTCATCTGAACACCCCATGACTTCGGGCCTTGCGGGTGCGATTCCGGGTCATCTCTTCTTCAGCCGGCTGACAGGAGCAGCCGGAGACCCTCTATAAGCCAATGTCTTGTGT